TTTATCAAATACTCTTCCAGGACGCCAATGCCTCGTTCGGCACGACAACGATTTTTTGCCTCACCAAACTCCAACGTTTCCACTCCAGAAAGCTACCGTTATCGACCGGGATCTCGACTCCTAGAACGAATCCCATCCTCTTCTCTCAGACCTTGTTCGCCAAACCGAGTAAGTTAAATGGCTTGCTTCATTTCGCCTCTTTATGCGCAGCATATTACGACTTCATAAGTCAGCGTCACTTATATGGGCAGATTCCGAATTAAAGGCATGCAGCATCACTAACAGTTGGCAAAAATCGCTACCAATCACACTACAGTTTCATGTGAATATTCCACTAAATTTCATATGTCTTTTCGCTACCGCATAATCTCCGTTGCCTGAAGCATAAAGTTGTCTATTTCCCCCTATATGGAGCTGCACGACTCAGTTTCGAATCTGTATTACGAGTGTATGGAAGTGTCATTCCTTTCGAAGTTCTTCGGATGATGGCTTTTCCTTGAGGAGGATATCACTGACTGAAAACGCCATCCACTGCATATCAGTAAAGTGGGCAATATTTCCTGCCCATCAGATTCAGCTTCCTGTCGTACATATGACGGAACATGTAACTGTCAATATAATGACGAAGAGGTACGCCAAGTACCTTCTTCTTCTCTTGCTTTGCTCTTTTACTTTCGTTAGTGGCCATATTTCGCATTTCCTTTTAACACAGTAGCTTTGAAGAAATACGCCCTTCCGGGTTAACAGCCTTTTAGAGTGGAAGATTCTGTGAAAAATTGCATCAATCAGCAACTTGTAGTTGGAGGTTTTGTAAAAGTGTTGAACTTCATCAGCACCATTTGAAACGAGGGGATAACTACTCGTTCTCAGCCCCCCAAAAAGCCGTGCTAACGGTCTACACGGTTTTTTTGTTCACATTATTTTAAACTGTAACCAGGGAACGAGTCTTGTGGTGAAGCTGTTTCGATAGAGAGCCGTGATTTTATCAAGATTCACTGTTTTTATCAAGATCCACTGAATTCCTACCCAGCTCCTTCCTAAACTTTTTCTAAATTTTTCAAGATTTTAGCGCAGGAGAATGGATTTAGTTACGCTAGACAGAAGAGATGGAAGCTTCCTGGGACAGTACTTGCCGGAAGATGCATCACCGCAATATGGAGATGAATTAGTTGATGAAGACCGGGAGAGTGACGATGATTTACGCAACGATAGCGGAAGCCCGCGTACTCCTCATGGTCATCGCCGTCGTCGTCGTCGTCGTCGTCGCCACCGAAGAGAAACCATCTAAAAAAGGTCCTTGCCTCAAACATCAAAGTATTTTAACTTTCTGGGCTTCGTTCCACACATCACTGCTAAATACATATTGGTGTAAGATTTGAAGCTCCACAAGTAGAATTGCGTTCCTAAAATTTAGCTTCCTTACTTTTATAGTTATTTGTGGTTCATGTGATTGATTATGCGGTCAGAAAACTAATTATGCGGTCAGAAAGAAGTAAGCGCAAACTCATGCACGTAATCACCCACACAAACGTGTACGCAGACATAAACAAGAGCACAATACACAGACACACAGACACAGGCGCAAATAAACAAAGACACACACATAAACACACACGGACGTGTACAATCGGGCATGACAGCTGAATAATGCAAAACATCATTCGATCACGGAAGAACTAAACAAATATGAAATTAAATTTTTATTGAACTCTCACTGGTTTTTTTTTTTAATTTGTAGTTAATAATGTTGAGTTTGATGCCGAGAACAACACTTACAAAGTTCAGCTTTGTGAAAAGAAAAACCAAATTTTTTTTTAAATCTTAAATCTTTAAAAATCTATTTTTCGTCATTACAGCGTCACAGAGCAACTGCACATAGGATAGAATTTGCTGTCCGTTTTACTCTGCCACTTTAGTCATTGGTCTCTTCACCATCGAAACAACTAGCAGCTTCTCTAATCCATTCTTAAGAATATCAGTGAGATAAGATTTACCGGATGCGCATGTCAACAGAAGCAAGTGAATTTTGTTATTCCTCAATTAACATATTAGCAGTTGTAGGATTAGAAGCTATGGAGCCGCTACTTTACGATACGGTGTGATTCTATGGGGGCGATTAAAAGGAACAATTTTTACATATTGGGGTTTCATTATTGATGAATTCTTACCAGTGAATAAAAATTTTCTTCTATCTTCACAAATGCACTATAATTCAAAAAAAAAAAATCTATCGTAAGCATATGACGACAGTTTTACACTTCTCCAACTCCATCCTTCACCACTTGCTTCCTTTTCCACTTTCTTCTCCTTGTTTCCTGCAGTTCACATGCAGCAAAACAAATGCACACCTATGGCTGGTAGAACGCTGTACTGGTGTTTCCTACTCCTGCCTGTGCGAACGCTTTCCTGTTTTAGCAGCT